CAGCTTTATCTCACATTGTCTGTCTGGCTATTGTTACCCTGACCAACATCAAGTCCTCATTTTCAATTGGAAGTTTTCCTTATCTCAAGGCAGTGAATGGACTGTAGCGTTTTGTCTCCCATGATGAACTGCCATTACCTTCCCAAACTTCGAGGTAAATTTTTCAGAGTATACCTGATTACCTGGAAGATTCCATACTGCCAAGGTACCATGAGGAAAACAGTAATCTGACCTATTCAGTCCTGACTTAGGAAAACTATAGTTACCTGTCCCTGAAGCAGGACTCACATCCACGAAGTTAAAAAAATAATTTTGGGGGGGGAGAAAATTCAAAATGACTGCAACAGAGTAGGTCTTTTGCTTTCTTTAAAGAATCACCAAGAAGGGAGATGCTAAGTCTCAATACTCATGTTTTACAGTATGTCACGAGTTTTATGTATGTTATTTGGCCACGAGTGTTTCCACAAAACAGGCAGAGCCCACTGTGGCTAACAGCAAAGAATGAGAAGATACGTGAATGCAGGCTGGGCATCTAATCTACCAGTAAGACGAATTGAGAATCAGACCTTGAACTTTGAGGAAAGAGTAAGAAGGGAGTATAGAATCTTCTGCACAGAAAAGATCTCTTCCTCCTCCTTGCCATAAATGGCAGGGGGGGGAAGGGGAAAACATGCTATAATTAAGTGCCTGCTATTCAGTCCCAGCTCAGATGCCCACATGTGCTGGTTTTGGCTGGGGTAGAGTTAGTTTTCTCCATAGTAGCTAGTAGGGGGCTGTTTTGGATTTGTGCCGGAAATGGGGTTAATAACACAGGGATGTTTTCGTTATTGCTGAGCAGGGCTGACACAGAGCCAAGGCCTTTTCTGCTTCTCACCCCACCCGTCCAGTGATGGGCTGGAGGTGCACAAGAAGCTGAGAGGGGACACGGCTGGGACAGCTGACCCCAACTGGCCAAAGGGAGATTCCATACCATATGATGTCATACTCAGCATATAAAGCTGGGGGAAGAAGGAGGAAGAGGGGGATGTTTGCAGTTGTGGCATTTGTCTTCCCAAGTCACCGTTATGCGTGATGGAGCCCTGCTTTCCTGGAGATGGCTGAGCACCTGCCTGCTGGTGGGAAGCAGGGAATGAATTCCTTGTTTGGCTTTACTTGCATGCGTGGCTTTTGCTTTACTTATTAAACTGTCTTTATCTCAACCCACGAGTTTTCTCACTTTTACCCTTCCAATTCTCTCCCCCATCCCACTGTGGGGGAGTGAGTGAGCAGCTGCGTGGTGCTTAGTTGCCAGCTGGGGTTAAACCGTGACACCACGTCATCCCTCATTTGTTTACCTAAATCAATGGACAAGTATTGATTTTAAGTAAAGACACAGTTAGAAGGCACAATCTAGGCAAAAATCTCAATCTGTTTTTTTTTGTTGTTCAAAACAAAAAGCAAACACAAACCCCTGTTCAAAGCAGAACGTATGATGACACTGCTACAGTTAGGAACAGAAACAGTGCTAATTCAGAGCTGCATTAGGAGGGGAGATTGTTTTCCCTACTCAACTCGTCATGACAATTATTCCACAATAATGATTCTGTACTTTGACTGCTTTTTCAGGAAGGGGAATATGATTTAGGTCAAGATGCAAATTTGAAGAAATTAATGGATTTTTTTCCTTTCATATCAGTAGACACACAACGATTTTAACAGCAACCTCTGAAGTGTCACCTATGTCATATAGCAAGTATCTTTTCATTGCCATGTTCAGAATAAGACTTTTGTAATTTAATAGTTGTCATCTAAACAAGAACATGTTGTTTTTACATACTTCCAGCATGAGGACATTGATTCTCTATGACCTATAAAAGCAGATTTTATTACAGATGTTGTTTATTCAAAGAAAATCCTTAAAATAGAAAGACATACCTGGTGTATTATCTGAGCTACAGGAAGTTGTTCAGCGTATTTTAGTGGTTCCGTTGCCAACTCATCCTTTGGAAGCCTGGGAAGAAATGAAGTTAACATTTATGAAAGTTAGTACAATGTTTACCAAGTTAAATCACTGAAATTTAAGAGTTTCAGGTACATTATTTTTAAATGTGTGGTATCTGGAAGATTATTTTGCCTAAGATGAAGAAAAAGTGTATTTTAAGACCTTAATTGATTATGCTTCTTACAAAGTTGAGTGAAAGAATAAACTTATAGTTAACAGAAATGTGTGTAACATTGCGGATTTTTTCCCTGATCAAAACACAAGCCACAAAATTTAGCAGCAGAAACCGAAGAAAAAAAACTTTAAATTTAGTTTTAGATGAACAAAGTGCTGGTAAAACCTGGATTGAAATCCCCACAGGAAAAAAGGTTTCATGCATTTACAGAGCAGATTCATCTCTGTTAACAGAACAATCCTGCCAAGGTAATTCAAATATGACCATCTCAAAAGGCAAGAAAGATTATTCACCATTTCCCATTTTTGCTGCAAGTGCACATCAGTCTTCAGCTGTGGCAGTTCACCACCACAAACACTGGTGCATTTGCCAGCACAGTAGTGTGCACTTCTGGTTTCAAATAAGCCAAAGAACTAGTATGAACAAAGAGAGTACAATACTTCACAAAGAAAACGCATCGTATTCCTTTAAACTTCCAACAAACTGTAGTTGCAACTGAAAATTCGGAAGCCATAAGCAGTCTCTTAAAAGAATATTTAAATGATAGTAAATTAGTATGAAAGCATGTTCTAACCCTTCAACCATACTGCTTTCTTCTACTGGAACTGCACAGCATGTGCTACAAGTATCATTCAAGATTTTCATCAGTTGTTCCTCAATCTTTCTGAAGAGTTCTGAATAGAGGAATTTGTGTAATATGAAAAAGCAAAGAAGGGGGGGGGAGGGGGGGGGGGGGAAGAGAGATCCCTACAAAAACAAGGCCTTTCTATAAAGTTAAAACATAATTACTTTCAGACAAAACTGTGTCCAAGGCATTATTTTCCAGGTTCAAATTACTACCTTATACCCATTCTAGTCAAAAATGATACAGGCTTGCTGGGTTAATTTACCTGCAGACTGGCTGCCAGGTAAGAGCGAGAAACTACAGGCTTAGACTCTGCACCGGGAGTGAACAGGCTGTGGTAAAAGAGAGGACAATATATGCACATCTCTCAATTTATGTTGTGGTTTGGAATGCTTTTAAGCTCCAAATAAGAGCCTGAATACCCAGAAGTCTGTAATGAACAGAGCATGAAGAAGTATGAAAGTCTTACTGTATAAGAAATTTAAAAGCAGAGAATGAAAGAAACGTGGCAATATTTCAAAGACCATCGTGACAACCTGTCTAAAACTGCTTAATGTGCTTAAGAAAAATTAAGCAAGCTCTGAGCTACTGAATCTGGTCTACTGAAACAGCTCACTTACTTATGTAGTTGTTAGAGGTTCTGGACTATTATGGCAATGATGAATTCGTATTTGCAACATGAAATACACTGCTGTTATAGTCCAACACAACCATCAGAGCTGAGAGTGGGCTCTGCAACTCCACTGCGGTGTGCAGAAGGAACCTCTCCGCTCGTTTCCTTTCTACTTTCTATCATCTGCGGAGTCCTGACTGGCAAACATACCACTGCCTATTCACAGCTACCCACACTCAGTGTGAACTTCAGAAGAGTTCTGTTCTACTGGGAGCCTGTTAGCGGACACAGCACCTTGATTTATGGATACCAGCTACATAAACCCATTTCTTAGCCACAGTTCTAGACGTGAAACCACTGCACACAGAACGAAATATGCATCAATATCTTGAACACTTATCTCTACAGCCTTTATGGGGACACTGCAAATCTGGAAAAAAAAAACCAAACCAGTATCTCAAATCCCCAAATTAAATACTTGGAGCTGCAAGTAACAGCTACAATTACTACAAACTGTATGTTAGCGGGGGGAATAAAAAAAAAAAAGGCTTGTTTGTTCTATCAAGGACCTTGCACATTTGGCAATGTTTTCTGTCTAGACAGTCAGCATTCCCTTGCATAGTCAAACACTCTCCTTGTCAACTGCAGAAAAAAAGACCTTTCTTCAAATGTCAAAGGATTAAAAAAAGACAGGGAAAAATTATCAAGATAATTTTGAGCCTTAGGAAGCTTTACTAAAACAATAGGGAGGGGAGAATCATATAAGCATGTATTCTAAAGTAATTAGATTTAAATTGAGATTAGGCTGATAGAAGCCTTTCAACATCAAGAAAGACTATTTTTTACTTTTTTCTAATTTACTTTATATAAAAATCAATTGAACTACAATACATTTTATATATAAATCATAAGATATAGATTAGATAGGTGCACATTATCATATATATACATACACATGTCTACATATGCATACCCACACTATAATATGTATACACACACGCACACAGGTATTTTGGAAGAAAAGTTCAGAACTGTTCTCTCAAAATTTTTGCTTAAATACCATGAACTTCTTGTGTATATATATGTACTCAGTGATGTACTAGCTATCAAGTCTACAAAAGGATTTTGATTCTTCTCTCCTGAAGATAAACCTCCTCAACTGGAAGAGCATGTATCTCAATCTTTTATATTAAACTGCATAATTAAAGCATTGAAGCTCAAAACTCTTGACCTGGAGCAAATAATTAACTTGAGCTACCAGGTATGATAAAGCAGCGTATCAATAAACTGGGCATTTGAGGCTACTAAATAAAGTGCAAGAATAACTTGCAGTAAATGATCTTTGCAAATTTGACAATAGCGTAGTCTTTGTTATTATGATACTTCAGCACTATCATCTAAAGCCATTTTCTCAAGTGGAAGAACATACCACCTCCTCCTAGCACCATACCCTCAGATCCATCTAACAAAAATTAACTGTGAGAAGGATATGCAGATTATTGAGCAAACCTAAAACATCAGTAAGTTCTGACTGACCATGACTGGTATTTTTCTTCCTAAATTCATAAGCATATATATGGCTTCACAAAGGTTTTCCTGAACACTTTGTTCCCAGCTCTTTTCTCTTCTCTGATCAACTATCAAAATATTTCAAAACATACTCTTCTAGGGTTATTCTCATCTGCTTCTACTCATGGTTCTGACCAAGTGTCAGATTTGAACTGTTATTCAGTTATTAACTGTTCATAGTTATTTACACACTGGGAAATTAAAAGCATCTAATACTAGTGACATTCTTTTTAGCTAAAAAAGGGAGTTACCCCGAGAAGTTATGTTGTATTTTAAGCAAATGAAAGTAAAAATTTTGTGAGAGAAAACATTTTTTGCTTGATTTATCTTTTAATTTTCCAGTCAAGTGATGATACCTGGAACAGAAATTGAACTTTATGAGAGAGGTACCTTCCAGGTCTTGGTTTTCAAATACTTACATATGATCAGTTTGGAAAACGCTTCAAAGTGCTTCAAAATATCCAGCAAGCAAAGTTCTACCAGTATGTCAGTTAGCAATACCGCTTTCAGTATTTGTTCTAACAGATATAAGCAATATAAACTCCTTTGAAGAGAATTATACTACTAAGAAGCCTCCATAGATCTTGCTTTCATTTCTCAGAGCAAGCACCAGTTTACATGAGGCAAAATAGTATCAGGGACTGTGCTAACAATTAAACATCACATATGACTGCAAGACAGTACATCACTGTCTAATTTAGAAGCACAGAAGCAGCCTCTTATTCTGTCTTTAAGAACATCACATTGGTTAGCTTGGGCAGTTTTGCAAGTGGATCAAAGAAAAGCCACAATCAGGGCAGGAGGAGAAACTTGCTGTGAAACTGCTATTTCCATTTTACACTAGACCTAAGACTAGTGGCCCCATTGGGCCTCCTAGACTGGCAGAATTGCCTGCAAGAGGCAATCCTCCTCTAAAAAGCATACGGGATAGGAAGGCCGTGACTAGAGAGGAGAAAAGGGTCAACGCAGCAGAGGATGTTCTAATTCCTCCTCTTTTGCAGGGTGGAGGAAGAGAACAGGTAAGGAGAAAGATCATCTCCATTACAACCACCCTGACCTTGCCTCTCCCTTTCACAGAGGGACACACGTAAATTGGTTACTGCTCCTCTGCTAGAGAGAATTTCCAGATGCCTGGGACGGTATTCACTTTTGCTCAAAACCAGCTATCTCAGGGGATGGGAAAAAAAAATAAAATAAAAAAATTAAAAAAATCTCAGTTGATGGAATTTGTGCTCAAATCATGTGTGGCAATTCGAGGCTGTAATTTCACAAAATTAGTTGGCCTCGTTGTTTAATTCATTTATATTTGACACTTATACCTTTATAAAATTAAGGGCTAACTTGTTTTAATACAGACTTCTTTGTATGTTTAATTTCTTTCAAAACAATTCTATTACAAAAACAAAAGTCATTTTTCATGAATTAATTTTCCAGTAAGAAATAGTCCTTTCTGTCTCAATTGAGCATGACAGCAGAGTGCTGCCAACAGTGCCAAAGCAAGCTAACACAGTGGCATATCAGCATATACGGCATCACGCCTGACAGCTGGTAATGGAAAGCATAAGGAGATCTTGATTTTCAGGGAGAAGACTAGAAAGAAACATAAAATCAGAAGAGAAGTGGGAAGCCAGTAAGAGATAGCAGAAGAGGAGGATCTTGAAAAATTCAATTTAAAAGTTATTTTTATACTGCCACTGTGACTGCTCTTAGATGAAGGAAAGTAAGCATGAAACAGAAACTGTGGAAAGTGAATCTAAATTCAGTAAAATGTGTTAAGATATTTAGTGAAAATCTTATTTGTTATTTATATTTGCATGCTCGGTCTTATGGGAAAAATCCTGAGAGAGTCAATGTGTGCTAAAGAAAAATAAATCCCTAGCATCAAGAGGTGGCACATTTTGCCACAAGTGCTAATCCAGCCTACGGTCTGCTACACAGAACAGCTACAGTGGCTTTAGGGCAGAGATATATTTTATCTCATGCAAGTATTACAAAAATACAGGAAAAAAAGAGCAGCATGTGATCAC